AGGCTTGAAGAAAGAAGAGGCTAAAAGCCGAAGAGGCCCCCACAAATTTGTGGTATCAAGTGGGCAACTATCGACTTAATGAGTTATTTTCAAGTTCGACAGCATGGTTGAATCTTTTGAGAATAGCTCGTTGGTCATTTTTTATTGCTTGATTTTTCATTGCTCGTCAATAATTTATAGTGGTTTTTTAAGAATGGAAGTAACTAACATAGTTTGCTGAATGTTTCAGGTTACAATCGTGGGATTTGCCGTACCACCCACCACACATCGAACCTAATTTTTCCTAAAAATAAATCGAGTATWAACAAAATTTCATTTTAAATGGTATTTCATTTAAAAGACAGAAAATATTTTAAAATCATGATAGAGTACAATACCGAACTCCTACTCCAATATCATATTGTTTTCTAATTTCATATCACCCACGCGTTTATCTTTTCATTCTTCATTTCATTCGTAGAAACTAATTATTTTATAATGTTTTTTAATGTCTCTTTTATTTTTCTAGGTATTAAGATTTATTCAATTATTGTTGAAACTCTTCATTTTTATTTTATTTTGTTTCAGGATATGATTGATTCTAATACATTTGTAAGTATTGGCTTCTGATCCAAAAAAAGAATATGACTTCGATGCATTCATTGCATCTTTGCAAATCTAAAATAATCTTTTCTTTTTCTTTTTCAGATTCGTTTCCAGTTTTTTTTCAATGGGTAGCGGGTAGATTCTTTCTTTGCTCTCTTTGCGAAGAAATATCTAATTCAGGGATGCGACCCTGTCCACGCGAGCCATGATTTCTCCTACCTCCAATGATTGGGAGAAATCATGTTCTTACTTAGAATCCCTTACTTCTTTCTCTTTCATTTATTCCTTCTATTCTTTTTCTAGGTTCCTCGTAATAGTGGATTAATCCGATCGAAGGGGGGAAACCACTTAAAACAAAAATCGCGAAAAGTTCCTTTTATAAAGTCTTAATTTTTCCCTTCTTTCCTATTCTTTTTAATGTTTTGTTGGCAGGATAAACTATGCTGCAAAATTCTGTCCAAGAGGAGAGGGAAATGGACCAAAAGAGAACTGAGTTATGGTAATCGGTAGTATTTTAATATGTTTATTACTTTAGTGTTGCATTACACACGTGAGAAAATCATTGTTAATACACTTTCTTATTTTTATAGGTACCATAGATCAATTCAAAATCGTGGAAAGTTCTATCTTAAAATCTTATCTTTCCCCTTCTTTTCTATTCTTTTTAATGTTTTATTAGCAACTATGAAAGCGATGCAATATTCCGTCCAATAAAAGTAGGAAGCAGATCAGAAGAGGACTATGATAAGTTATGGTAAGCGGTAGTAAGAAATAATTATTTCTACAAATAAATGAAGTATTTTAATTCGTTTATTGTTTTCTCCGTAGCATTGTACATGTGTAATAGTTATTTTTAATACACTTTTTTGTTTACAGATATGCACTATAAATTATGTACATTTATTTTTATTTTATTATATTTTAAGTAAATTGAAAATGTTAGTTTTCAATAAAATCATCATTTTTACTTAAATTCTATTAGGGTGTACTCCTTGTTTTCATTTTCTTATTCAGTATTCAAACTTTTCTCTTTATTCTCGATAATTATTTTAAGGTTTCTTGGATGTAACTCTTAGGGTGGGGCCTAAGAGTGGGGCCTAAGAGTGGGGCTCATTAAAAAACGTTCTCTGGGTGATCATTTTCTTTGGTTTCAATTTAATTCGGATGTGGACATCTTTAGGATGCACATCCCGGGTCTTCGGAAGCGGTTACCTCCTCGTGGTTAGACCTGGGCAATGGTGTTTTACTTTCAGTATAATGTTTAACATATTTTATATGTTATACATTCCATTGCAAGTAAAATCCAGCCAAAGACCGCTTACCATAAACATTATAATTGTAATTAGTTTCTTCTAAATCCCTAATTAATATCATATTCCTATACTCCTTTTTTGCCCCTTGGTTCCTTCTATCCATTTAATATACAGAAACTAATTACTTTATAATGTTTTTTAATAATTTTTATACTTTTGCACATACAACACCGCACAGCGAGAATTCTTTTAATGTAATCTTCATTATACTTTTTTTCAAGGAAGGTGTAATTCTTATATATATATATAGGTCTTACAAAGAAAGCGAGAGACTGATACGCTGTCGGTGCACCATTGATACGCTAGTGGTGCGCCATTGTTGGACTTATTGGATCATTGTTAAACCATTTTGTTTAGCAAGAAAATAATATTTGATTTATAATCATCAACCTCGAAAATCATTAAATACTAATTTCCAATAAAATTAAACTGCGTCTATACTTTTGTCCACGTTTTCGGGATTTGGCACCACTGTGCAGCACCGTAAGCGAGACCTACAACCGCATTCTCTATTCTAGAGGACAGCTCGTGTTTCCGGCCACTAGGGAAAGAATATAAAAGGGAATTTACTGGGAAGATCAAATCTTTTTCCGTTCGATACTAGTGTCTAGTGTTGTTAGATGAAAATTTTTAATTTCATATCTCATTTTTACAAAAAATTACTATTTGGTCATAAACATCTCTACTACTAAATATTAATTGATTTATTATCACATAATGCTATAGAATCATATATTACACACGTTTAAATTTATAAATTAGTTTATATTTGTACATTATTAAATTTGTTCGCCGATCTTACTTTGTTAATAATTTCTAAGAAAAAGAAAAACTTAACAGACATTTCCACAACAAAGATCACCGATGCTCTTTGGATGTTTTTTAATATAAGATAGTTATTTTGTATTAATCTCAAATATAATATAAAAATACATTTATTATAAATAATTCAACATGGCCACACCTTTGAATGTTCTCGATGGACTTACATTGAAGTAATATAAAATATATTTTATTAAATGTATGTATTAATAACCTAAATAACAATAATTGTATGTGTTTTCAGTGATTTACTGTCTCCAGAAGGTTTCACCTTTGAGATTGGAGATGAATATATACAGAAAGAAGAAGAGAATAATTGTTCATATGATTCAAATGTATTCTTGTCAAACGATGAAATAATCGATATGCTTAATATAGATAATTTAAAAAATGAAGAGACTGAAGATTACGAAAGTGCAGTTACCAATGTCATCGGAATAAGCTTTGCGAAATTGAAATCTAAAATGATACCAGTAACAGAAGATAAAAAGGCATGCTCTAATGAATAATACAAATTTTTAAAGAAGGAGATATTACAGATATTAAAATTAAATTGTTTTTAATATTTATAGATCATGAAATTGATTAAAAGAAAAGGAGCTGGTGCAATGGTATCATTCAAATCTCAGGTCACAATTAAATATATAAGTTTCTTTGAATATAGCGATGAACCTTTTGATTCGACATTTGCACAAGGGAAACCAAAAACTATTCGCCTTGATCATGGCCTATTAATTCCTGGATTAGAATTAGCACTAACCACTATGGAAAAACATGAGATTTCTATTTTTATTATTCATCCTGATCTTGCATATGGACGATTAGGATGTCCACCTCGAATTTTACCCAATACAGAAGTTATGTTTATTGTTCATCTAGTTGATTTCCTCGACATTGGATCAGCAGATACTTACATTACTTTAAGCGTGGATGAAAAAAAATTACTTCCTAATATTATTAAATGTGTTAACGATTTGCTTAATTCAGCAAAACATTATTTTAAAAAAATGGCATACAAAACTTCCATACGAGAGTAAAGAAACTGAATTCTTTAAAATATACTCTTATTTGATGTATGTACAAATTTTATTAATACTCTTATTTATTTTTACAGATACCAGAAAGCAATACGTTTGTTGGAAGATGCTGAATTAAAAGATGATAACGAAGAGGAAGAAGTTAAAAGACTACTTTCCAGATCTTACAATAATCTTGCAATATGTTTTAATAAAATTGATATGCCACGTCGTGCATGCATGGCTTGCATCAAAGTTCCTGTGCCTACTGTTAAAACTTACTTTAAGTATGTTCTTCATAAATAATGTTTTACAAGTAATTACATCAGAAATTCAATGAAATTACATTCATTTTATATTTTAGTCATGGTAAGGCACTGATTAAAATAGGAGAATATACAAAAGGCTTAAAAAAGTTGGAATTCGCATATAAAATGGAACCAAAAGATAAAAATATTTACCGAGAAATTTGTTTGGTTAGTATTTTATTCTATAATCATCGTTTAATCCTTTTTCTTGGTGTATTTTAAAATTTTTTCTTTTACACCTCATCTTTATTTTAATAAAAAATAATAGGCAAATCAAAAATACAATCAGTATTATCAAATGGAAAAAACTTTATGGTCCAATTGTTTGAATATTTCTGGAAAAGAGAAACATGAAATTGAGTTTCAAAAAGCAGCTCATGAAATGTGTAAAGTTTTCGCTGAAGATAATTATCTATCCAGTCAACCATTTCCTGAAGGATTAACGCAAGAAGAAGAGAATTATATACGCGAACAAGCAGCTGCATTAGGTCTTAATGTTGTTAATCAGATTAAATATAACAAGAAAATATTATATTTAACTAAAAAAATATATTAGTTACGATTATCTGCTTAGTTTTAAAGAAATTCATTTTAGACAAGCATTCATTTTAGTTTAAGCAGAAAAAACCATTTAAAAAACTGAAAATTATCTATTTTTTGATATTGTTTTTTTCAAATAAAAAAGATTGTATGACTTTAAGACTTTATACACTTTTTATTTCACATTTACGTAACAAAATTTTTTTTTTATTAATTTAAAGTAGCGGATATACAGCTCGAAATAGATTCGTAACTAGCAACGTAAAACACCTCCAAGTACTGACTTCTTAAAATGATTGAATCAATTTTTAATACAACTGTCCGTTAATTGTAGTCCGCTATTTTGTTAAAAAAAGAAAAACAACATCAGATTCGTTATCAGTGACCCTAAAAACCATCTCACACATGTACTAATTTTTAATAAAATTAAAATATATCTTCATCTTTTAGTCAAGTTTTAGGGATTTGGTTACTATGCAACGCTTGGTACTAGAACTCTTTTGACAAATTTTATGATAATAGAGAATTTAAAAAAGTATAATACTTTCTATTAAATATTTCCTTTATTTTTTAAACATATCATATTAAACATTATCTATTTAAAGCTTCTTTAACCTTATTTTGTCAATTATATTTTATATTCTACATCATCATTTATGTTAGAAACAAACAATACGAGAGTAGATTAAAAAGTTTTATGCCTACATAAAACAACTTTTTTTTTATCAAATTCACATAATATCTATCTATGTCTTTTCGACATAGTCTCCTTTTAACTCGATACACTTAGTCCAGCGATGCTCCAACAACTTTAACCCATCCAAATAGTAGTTAGTGTCTTGCTCTGCAAAATAAGCATCTATTGATGCTATAACTTCTTCACTCGATGAAAATCTCTGTCCTCCAAGCCAAACCTTCAATTTAGGTAACAGAAAAAAGTCACTTGGAGCTAGATCTGGTGAATACGGAGGATGGTCAATTAAATCGAACTGCAATTCATTAATTTTGGCCATGGCGACTGTCGAAGTTTGAAACAGTCCACTGTCTTGATGGAACAATACTTTTTTCTTGTTCAAATGTGGTCGTTTCTGTGCAATTTCTCTCTTCAGTTGGTCAAGTAATGATGCATAGTAGTTTCCCGTGATTGTTTTACCATTTTCAAGATAGTCGATGAACAAAATGCCACAGCTATCCCAAAAAACAGTCGCCATTATCTTCTCAGCTAATGAGTGTATCTTCGCCTTTTTTGGATTATGTTCACCCTCAGCAATCCATTGTTTCGACTGTTCTTCCATCTCATGAATGTAGTAGTGAATCCAAGTTACATCTACCGTTATGAATCGACGCAAAAAATCCTTCTCATCTTGCTTAAATCGTTCTAATAGAGATTTGCAAATGTTTATTCGAGCACATTTTTGATCCAAAGTAAGCATACGTGGCACCCAATGCGCAGCCAACTTTCTCATATTCAATTCTTCATACAATATATGATAGGCGCGTTCCTTGGATATGCCTATAGCTTTTGTAATCTCTCTCATTTTAATTTTGCAGTCATAAAGTATCATTTGATGGATTTTTCCAATGTTCTCACTGGTTGTCGCAGTTGTTGGTCGTCCTGAACGCTCATCGTCAGCTAGACTGGTACGACCACGTTTAAACTCAGCTGTCCATCTTTTCACTGTCGCAAATGATGGAGCCCACTCTCCATAAACAGCATTCAATTCGGCTTTAATTTGCGCAGGTGTGTTGCCTTTTAAATGCAAGTATTTAATCACAGCACGATATTCGATTTTTTCCATTTTCCTGAAAACTCTGACATCCACTAACGCAAACAACTGTTGCGCAACAATTGAGAGTCTAATATAGCTTAAATTTTCAAAAGTATCTGTAAAACATTTACATTAATAGTACTGAAGTGGCGACAATTAGTATTGCCATCTTCTTATTGTACCCAAGACTTTTCAATCCGCCCTTATACTAAGGACGCAAACATCAAATCAGATGCTATTAAAATTACATCAGGATCAATTTATGAAACTGGTTCTTCTTTTCCTTTTCTTCTGATATATCCATCTTAGTCTCTCTGTTGGTTTTAAATTAAAAAAATAAAAAGGTATCAATACTTAGGATATAGCTAAATAAGATTACTGAAAATGCCCTCAATAAGTTACTGAATGACACTCAGCCTATAGCATCCTTACTACTAAAAGAAAAACCAATTTTATCGAATTGGTATAACATTGTGAAAAAAATATTATAAAGATATTATAGACTAAATGTCTATATTAATATCTTTCATTAATTTTACTTGGCTATACCCCTTATTAAGCTAAATAAACAGTTTACTTGGCTTAAAAAAAAATATTGCTGCAAATTGTACAAAATTTGAATTATACTATTGATCTTAAGTTTTATCAAAAGAATTAATTTACATCAACTATTAATATTTCATTATAAAGTTTAAATTTCTCTTACTTCTCTCTTTTGCATAACTAATAAAGAATTATTAAATTTCTTGAAAATTGCACTCCATGCAATTTCACGTATCTATATTTTTCTAATGTATGCAAAAAAAATGTTTGCATCGATCCCGAAGGAAATATATTTGTTTATATTACTGTCGTATTTTCCACTGAATACAAACAATACATAAAATGTCTAGAGAGAAAAATATTCAGCAATTTTTTTTTTTTGTATATCTCTAATTCTATTGGTCACAATTAAATATTTTTTTGTTGCATTGACAGCCCTGTAAATAATATAACCCACCAATCAGCAAAACCAAACTCTACCATCACATTTGACAGAGATACTATTAGGAGTCCAGTATCTCTCTCCTTCTATTTCTGGTACATTTTTGTTTAAAAAACATAAAAAAAGCGTAGTCTATATATTATATGTCTATGATTTTCAATAATTACTAACTCATGATCACAAACTATTAATTTAAAATGTTTCAAATTGTCTAAATGATTTACGTGAAAACAGTGTATTTGCCACTGTATATCTTATATCCCATCATTAAAGTTATAAACTATAGGTGGAAGTACAATCGGGAATGAAATCAGGGAACATCGTCAATTCTTTATGAATCTACATAAAAGCTTTCTCCGTGACAGTTATACAGCAAAATAAGTAAAAATGGCGGTTAACATGGATTCTGTAAGAGAAAAAGTTCTCCAAAATTACCGAAAGAAACTTTTGGAACACAAAGAAGTAGAATCACGATTAAAAGAAAGTAAGATATATATATATATTTATATTATTTTTAAAAAATAATCAATCTTTTCCAAAAACTATATATTACCTAACCTTATTTTCCTATTGTAATTCTTGGCTTTGTATTTGATTTTATTATTATTATTTAAAAATATAAAATTATACTTTATGGATTTATAATATATATATGTATATATTTTTAATATTTACAGTGAGGGAACACTTAAAAGATCTGACCAAACAATATGACAAGTCAGAAAATGATTTAAAGGCTTTGCAAAGTGTTGGTCAGGTAAATAAATAGTATTATTTACAATAAAAAAAATGTCTTAATATTTCTTTTTATAAGAATCTATTAATATGTATATATGTATCCGTATGTTTTTTTACTTAACATAAACTTTATACAGATTGTTGGCGAGGTTCTTAAGCAACTTACAGAAGAGAAATGTAAGTAAAATATTTTAGTAATCAGTAACAAATATATTGTCAATTTAAATACATCTTATAGAATATTTAAAAAAACATATTTTATCAAAATGTTTTATTTTAAAAATTAATATAGAGAAACATGTAATGTGTTATTTCAGTTATAGTAAAAGCAACAAATGGTCCTCGCTATGTTGTTGGTTGTAGACGTCAGCTTGATAAAAATAAGTTAAAATCTGGAACCAGAGTTGCCCTGGACATGACAACCCTTACTATAATGCGTTATTTACCACGCGAGGTAAACAAATTAGATATGCAATAATTGAATGCATTTTATTGTAGTTTTATGGAACTGCTTGTTATAAATTGTATTATACCTCATTTAGGTTGATCCATTAGTTTACAATATGTCCCATGAAGACCCTGGTGATGTTACATATTCAGCTATTGGTGGTTTAAGTGAACAAATACGTGAATTACGAGAAGTTATAGAATTACCTTTATTAAATCCTGAACTATTTCAAAGAGTTGGTATTACTCCACCTAAAGGATGTTTATTGTATGGTCCACCTGGTACTGGCAAAACACTATTGGCAAGGGCAGTTGCTAGTCAGTTAGATGCAAATTTCTTAAAAGTTGTATCAAGTGCTATTGTTGACAAATATATTGGAGAATCAGCACGACTAATCAGAGAAATGTTTAATTATGCTCGTGATCATCAACCTTGTATTATATTTATGGATGAAATTGATGCTATAGGTAAAATTATTATATTATAAATATAATAAAATATTAAATCATCTCTCTTATATAACAGAAATAATGTTTCATGCATACAAAAAATAAATACTTTGCAATATTAATACTGATTTTATTTTATATAGGCGGACGAAGATTTTCTGAAGGAACTAGTGCAGATAGAGAAATTCAAAGAACTTTAATGGAATTATTAAATCAAATGGATGGTTTCGATTCTTTAGGTCAAGTTAAAATGATAATGGCAACAAATAGACCCGATACTTTGGATCCTGCTTTGTTAAGACCCGGTCGTTTGGATAGAAAGATTGAAATACCATTACCTAATGAACAAGCACGACTTGAAATTTTGAAGATTCATGCAGGTCCAATTGCTAAGCATGGTGATATTGGTAAATATATTAATATATAATCTATAATGCATATATATACATAATCTACATGATCTAGAAATAATTGACTAATATTTAATATAGATTATGAAGCAGTAGTCAAACTATCAGATGGGTTTAATGGGGCAGACTTAAGAAATGTTTGTACAGAAGCTGGATTATTTGCTATTAGATTGGAGAGAGAATATGTTGTGCAAGAAGATTTTATGAAAGCTGTAAGAAAAGTTTCAGATAATAAGAAACTTGAATCAAAGTTAGATTACAAACCAGTATAAAAAATCAATATAACGATTGTAATTTAATGAATGATACAAATGATGAATCAATAAAATAGCTTTATTTTATCTTAACAATATATACATTTTCACGGGAGTTTGCATATTAATAATAAATTAATTATGATTAACAACTCATCATCAATATATATTGTTTGATATACAAAATTAATGTAAACTTGTGTTATGCTTTTATTACCCAATATAATAAAGAATTAAAATTTATAATACATGATATATATTGTACGCTAATTATTATTTTTTTTTTTATTGACTGAAAGTCCTTATTCCAAAGTAGGTGGCAGACGTAATTTTTTTCTTTCTAAATACTGTTGTACATTATCATATTTTCTTTTGTACAAACTAGGAAATAAATTTTTCCTAAGTGTATTATTATTCAATGACATCCAAGCTTCATTCAATTCTTTTAATGTATTATTTGTAGTTGAATCTAATACAAAATGATTATTGTCTAAGATATATACGATTACTCCTGAATTTGTTAAAATCCACATTTGATTATTTTTTAAAAAACAATCTAAAGGTTCATCTTCCATTATTACGTTTTCACTCCAAGTGGCAGTTAAACTTGATTCCACTGTTTCATCAATAATATATACTAGCAATACATTACTACTATAAAAACTAATAACAACTAAGGACGATAATTTATTAAGTTTCGCAGCCCTTAGATGTTTTACTGGTAACACATTTACATGTTCTTCATGATTAGTTTTAAGAATTTTATTAAAATTATCAATATTATATTTAGGAATTTTTTCACTAAAATTAACAGTTAATAGTTCATTTCCACATACATAATCCCAAAATTTAAGAGTTCCATCTCCTCCTGATGATATTAAAATATCTTTTTTATGGGGTAGTTCGCAAATATTTGTAACAAATTTGCTATGTCCAAGACAATACGATACAATGTTATATGAATATGGGAACATTGATACACGGATCTTTTCATCTCTATCAGTCGTTAAAATATACTTTCCATCTTCAGTTATGAGTATATCTAGTAGCATTGATAAATGTCCCAAAAGTAAAATTCCATTTCCCACAGGATTTGTAGTAGAAAACAGATAAGCATCTCCAGCTTTATCGGCAACAATTATATCATTGTTTGGAGAAAAAATGACTTTACTTGCTGCTCTAGGTAGTATTCTGTTCGATATAAGTTCTTTACTTTTTCGTTCGTATAAGCACAATTGTTTACGATTTGTGCATACCAAAAAATATTTGCCATCATTAGAAAATGTTGTACTAATAATCATATGATATGATTCAATATCTACATTATTATGTATATTAACTATCTTATTACATTCCAAATGAGGTAGTTCTATGTTATTTATTAAGTTATCATTAATATTATACATTATAAAATGATCATTGTTGCATATAACAATATCCGAATCATATGCACAGAAACTCATTTTTTTTGTTTATTTCAAATTTAATTTTTACAAGTCACAGTCGTATAATGATATTTATATCGTTATGATATATTTTATAGATCACACAATTATACATACAATTTGATTTTTTTAAATTAATAGCACACTTGGTTCATTACTATTACACTTCGGTAATATGTTTACAGAAGCATTAGCCTTAGCATTAGATGGCGCGAATATTGTAACATGCTATCTACCAACATCGATAATAATCAACCCACGGCTATTGGCAACGTATCTTATAATTAAGAACTAGATTAGTTGAGCAAAGTTATAGAGACATTTTGTTTACATTCTAGAAACTTTTCTTTTTATTCTATTACTGGTATCAAATTTTCGCGGGAAGGTGAAAGATCGTTCATACTCAAATGTGATGTGCGTGGGTGTAATTATATGATACAATTAATTGTGAAACGTTTATGTTTGCAATTATTTAGTTTTTTACTATTTGTATTTGTTTGTTAAATATTAAACGTATTATTTCTATATTAATAATGGCTGTACAACCGAATCAGCAATTTACTATGGGTAAGTAACTTTTATTCTTGAACATATCATTTTCTCTGTGTTTTGAGATAATAATATACAATTAAATATTTTAGATCCATCTTCTCAAATCAGTTTTGTCAGATATTTCACGAATCTTCCAGAAGTAAGTAAAGATTTATATGATTATGACTTCACTTTGAAAGCAATCTTATATCTAGGTTATTATTAATAATATTTGACATTAAATTACAAGAAATGAATAACTGCATCTATTAACACATATTATGTTTTATAGTTTACTAATACTAAGCTATATAATATAATTATTTGAGTTACATTATGTTGTAAAAGTGTGTTCAATTATAACATTATAAATTCAATATTTATACTATATGAAATTATATACAGATCAAATATATTATCTGTGGTAAATAAATTGTATATGTTTAGTTCTTTATATAAGATAAAAATTTTTTAAATTAATTTAATTTAGTAATTATATATATTCAACCAAAAAGATCTTTAGCTTTCTCTTTTGCTTTATCAAAAGTAGTTGTAAATTTATGACCAAGTCTTGTCCAGAATGTTGGAGGAACTTCGGTTTCCACTTTTTCTGTTATTTCTGGTGTTGTTATCATAGTAGTAGACAAAGGAATTATTTCTCTCGGTTTCTCTCTAATATCCCATGGATCTATACCATCTAAATGAGGAGGTAGTGTAACATCAGGATTTTGTGTTACATGATTAAAAATATCATCATTGTGATTAGCATCATATGGACCACCGCCATATGCTTCTAAAATACGTGGCTCTATTTTTTTTTCTGGATTACTTTTTTGAGAAGGTAAATTCTCCTGATTATTGTTTTGATTTTCTCTCTTTCTATATACTTCTTCTAAATTCAAATCTTTATTTAATTGAGATTGAGATACGCTATTACTAATTGAATATTGACTTTGAGTTGACGGTTGATAAATATGTGTGGATCTATGTCCACCTTTAGTGAAACCATTTCTATTGAAAGAATTTGATTGTGGACTTCCATTTTTAATAACTTTTTCAGTATTTAGCTGTATTGGGTCTTGCTGATTTGAAGATTGATGATTAATGGAATAAAAATCGTTATTACTTCCAACTTCTTGATGAGGACTTGAACCATCTGATAATTGATTTTGATATGAAATAGTTTGATCAGTAATATCACTCGAATGATGTACATAAATACTACTTGGATTTTCCGTGCTGTCAGTAAAGACTTGATTTGATAATCTATATCTAAATTTCAATTTTGGTTTTGGTGCTGGAGTCAGTAAATACAAAGGTTTGTTCTCATTAATATCTGATCGTTTTTCAGAAGCAGATACACTTGGATACAAATATTTTTCATTTGTAAATTGTTGGTTATGTCTGACAGGATATTTAGGGTAGTCGAACTGTTGTCTTTGTTGTCCATTTACTGACTGACCAGAAGTTTGTTGTGTTAAATCATCAAATCCTCCTGACTGTTGAATCAAATCATCACTGTGCTGAATAAAATCTTCAAAGCGCTGGTTATAATTTCTTGGTTTTTGATTAGGTTGACCAGATTCTATATGTCC